GCTGAATGCCACTGATGGTTTTCAGGCCAAGTGCTGGGAGGCCAAGGAATTGCACTCCTTGTGGAGTGGAGCCCCTGCAGCCTTTCTGTCCCAGGTCCTGGTCTAGGGTTAGTACAGCCCAGCTCCACGTAATTATTGCATGAAACCAACGTCCTTTCAGAGCTTGCTCTTTCAAACATACAATGAAGAGCTCTGTGTAGCTGCATTGAATTAATATGGGGCAAGTCTCAAGATTCTTAATCAGCTTTAGCTGGCTTTTACTTTGGGAAAACTTCCCACTGAACTTCTGAGTAAGGACATAAGAATTTGTCCAGAGTAACCATTTTCAGCGTGAAAGGAACGCTTACTATGTTATTCCCATCTGGCTTTCCTAGAATATCTCATCTGTTATTCCCTTCACACGCCTCTGTGAAAAGGACCCTGTAGGATGAAGTCATCCTGAAGTGCTTTTTTTTGTCCTAAAAATCTGCATATTCTTACTATGGTTACTTTGATCAGGGTAAACACGCCTGCACTCCCGGTCTGGGGCATTCCTCCCACACTTTCAATACAGATTCTCTGCTTTGCTGTCCTCTCACCCAGAGTGAGGGAATGACCCCTCCACCTCTCTTCCTACCCCAGACAAAAGCCAGACAGCTTCAGATTCTTAAACACTGGCAGATTTATAAGCCTCATCTCTGCTCTGACCCTTGCAAGCCTTGCATGCTGATGAGGATGAGGAAGGTGTAAATTCTTACTGTCCACCCTCTCCTTTTTTTAGTTCCTCTATTGCCTCCTTCCCCCAGTTGCCTCATCGCTGTGTTCATGTGCTTGCATGTTCAGCTTTTCTTCTGTTCTCCTGGTATCAGATGATCATGGTCGTGTGGACACATCCCTGCCTATACTGAGGCTCTGCCCAATACTCTGGCACCCTAATTCTCTTGGGAGCCTTTGGGCACTGCTGCAGTGCAAACCATGATGATCATTTCATCATGGACCTGATTAAAAGGGTGTCCATCACTTTACCATTCAGCCAGCAGCTGTTCATGCGGAAATATTCCCCTCTATTCCCCTAGTTCCATCCACAGCCAGAGTTACAAACTTACGAGAGGGCAGACCTGAAAATCCACAGCCACAGTCTTGGTGACATAACGGGGGAGCAGATGTTTGATTACACTGGGTGTAAGTGAGGGATAATTAATTAAAGAGACATATGCCTTTCTTAGGGTGTAAGTCCTTAAGTTATTTAAAGGCCAGGAGATGTGAAAGGTGAGCTGTTGGCAGGTGAGAAGCCAGCAAGATGGCCAAGGAAGTGGATGCTCCCTGGTCTGAGTGTAAAATGTCTGTGCTGCTTAGTGGAGTCCTTCGTCTGTGCTGTTACAATCCTGGAGTTAGTCCCTGGGGATGCTGAGACAGATGATGGGAGCCGATAGGCAGACTGCCTTCAGGAAGGGGAAGAGGAGAGAGGGGAGACCCAGTGAGAAATCTGGGTCTTGTGCCAAGGACCCCCTCCCAGAGCAGGAGGAACTAAAGCAATCATATCTGCTCTAAGTTATTAACTGACTGCTACTGCCACTGTATTGAGGGGAAACCAAGAATTTGAATCTGTGGGGGACAGTGATCCCAGGGCCAGAGCTGCAGGGCAAAGTGATGCCCAGTGCAGCTGGAATGGAAGGCAGAAGGAGCTGGTTAGACCAGGGCAATGCTGCCTTGGGCTGGGATGTGCTGCCTCTCCAAATGGCCAGGTCATCCAGCCTGCACCATCTGGGTGCTGCTGTTCTCCCAGCTGTGGCACCACAGAGATACCTAACATAAAAACTACTTGTTTCCTGGTAACTGTGTGCTCATGTTTGCAGGCAAGGTTTGGGTAATCAGTTCAGAGACAGATCCTCGTCCTTGTTTTAAAATTAACATTACCTCTCTTGCAGGGGCATGACTAATGGATTTGTCTGTGCAGAGAATAGCTATGGGTGGCGCCTGTGCTCTGAGGGACCAGAACATCTGGTCTCCATGGAACAAATTGTGAATGGGATTTTGAGCTGTGTACGCACACCAATCCCAGGGAAAAGATCACCTCCTGGATGGTCTGTCCAGTCTTTATTGTCTGTCAGATGGAGCAAACGCAGGGAATGAGTCACTGCTCTCCCCAGAGACAGGATGCTGACTGAGGAGGAGGAGAAAGGAGATGGGGAGAAAGCAAAGGCAGGGTGAGGAGACAGGTGTGGTGAGGATGGACCCTGAGTGGCCAAAGCACAGAGACACACCACGGCATGGAAAACACCTCAATGGTCTTACCGTTCCCCCAGGCTCTGGGAACTGCCAGTGCCTAACATGCTGTGCAAATGATAAATTCATCAAAAGACTGTTTTAATAAGGAAATATTAACCTAGATCCAAACCCAGATGGTGTTCAACCATGACTAAATAAAGAAACACAGTATTTCATAAGTGAATGTCCCGCTGAAGAGGAAAGCTGCACATACTGGTGCCATCCAACAACCTTCAGCGTCCAAAGAGCAGGTCCCAGCCAGTGTTCCCAGGATATTTTCTGCCTGTTTCCATCACCAGGAGATAATTGTACCCTTGCATTAAGATAATGTTTCTTACCAGCTCTTTGGTCCTTTCTATCACACAGGCAATCTATAAGATGGTTTCTTCGGTAATGAAGATGCCAGAAGATGAGTCAACACCAGAGAAGAGGACAGAGAAGATCTTCCGCCAGATGGACACCAACCGTGATGGTAGGTACCCTTCAGTTGTGGCTGCCTCTGCCACTGTGCTGGGTGGCTGGGGTGTCCTGCCCATGCAGGATGACCCTTCAAATCCACTACTCCTCCTTTCGCCATCCAGGCAAAGCCACCATACAAGGCCAGCAGGGTGCAGGCAGGCAGGACTTTGCCTTGCAGGGTTGCTGTCCCAGGGATTTTCCTTTGGGCTCCCCCAGATTCCTTCCACCACACTTGTCCAGAGGCTTGGCAGGTGTGCTGTGACCCACTCCACCCGCTAAGTGAATGTGTTTCTTTTCTAGGAAAGCTCTCTCTGGAAGAGTTCATCCGAGGCGCCAAGAGTGATCCGTCCATAGTCCGTCTCCTGCAGTGCGATCCCAGCAGCGCCGGGCAGTTCTGAACCCGTTCTTTGGATGAATTATGTATCTGCTTTTTTTTTTCCTTGCCAAACAACATTCATGGTAGTGTTGCCTCTGTATGGCCAATTATGCCTTCATTTGTGGCATCTTATAGCTTCTTTTGTTGTGGATTAATTATAAGAATGCTGAATTGCTCTTAACAATTTGTCCAGAGCACGGGCAGTACTGTTTTAAACAGATATTGTGGTGTTATCATTGTTTTCAAAATTTCATTTGGGGTTTTTTTTTTTTTGTTGTTTCAATGTGTCTGTTTTGGAAAGTATGCATTGAGGAGGAGTAAACCAACAACAAACCCCTTGGCAGCAAGACACACTGACAGATTTTAGATTGCTGCTTTAGTTGTTAAGTATTCACCCACAGGACCTGAAAGTATAGTAGAGAGTGAACCAAAGGGGTTGTGATCGGTGGGATAGGATTCACCTGGAACCTCCTCTCCTGTCCGGGAGGCACCAGTTGAGGTCAAAGACAGGATTTGGAAGCAGTACATAAGTGCAAAACTTGTGTGGGGTGTATCATCCACTCCAATGCTTCGTCATTTCAATGCTGTGAACATTTTCCAGGTTGTGAGGGAGAAGGGACGAAGCAAAGGTCGATATTTTTTTCCTAGGTTTACAATGGTTGGATTCTCATGGCTTTATCTGAAAATTCAGCAATTTGCAATTGTGATCCCCAAATCCACAACTGACGATACCTCTTGCTGTTTGGGATCAGCAAAGGCAGACACAGGTGAAAAACTGGGTCTTGAGAATGAATTTAAGGGAGATATATGTTGAATGTGAATTTTTCAGGTTAGTAATAAAGCAGTTTCTACTAAGGAGAGTGGGCATTCACACGAGGAACTCACAGACACCTGCAAGCAGCTCCAGCTGAGGCACATATGCTGTTCTGAATGCTCTTGCATAGGAGGAAGTTTCGGGGGTGTTTTTGTCTCTCTCCACATAGCTAACAGAGTTTCTGGGCCTGCTCTTAGGGGAAGGCTGTCATCAAAACTTGTTTTAAACATAAAATTGTAGCATTTATATTTCATTTATTTTAGTAAAGTTCGAAAAATCTGTACTGATATGAGGAAATGGTACGCTTTATGATATATTTATATATATAAAATTAAAACAAAAAAGATCAGCTCTTGAGAGAAATGTTGAATGTTTATCTTTTCGCCTAGATGCAGGAGTTCTGAAATTTGCTGCTGCAAAACTTCATCCTTCGGTCAAAAGTGCTGTATGCAAAACTAGTACACTTAGGGACTTAACAAGCCTGTGCAACAAAAAAGCTTTAGCACAGGAGGCATTACACTGACTAAATTGGCATTAATCTGTCATTAGCTAAATCTGCTCTGTGATCCTGTTGGAGTGGTACCCATGCAGGCAGCACGCGGTGTTGGGAATTCATGAGCTCGTTAGGGTAACCTTTGTCTGACAGACAAGGTTGGCATTTTGTCAAGTGACCTTGTAGATGCTAATCCCCAGTAGCCTTAATTTAAAATAAACTAAGTAAAATAAGTCTGCTTTGCAGATGATGATTAGCTAAGTACTAATTAGAAGTCATGAATAAGTAGTCAAGTATGAATAATTTTCTGTGGAACACTAGCTAGCATGTACAATAACTGAGAGAATCAATCCTAGACTTAATTTTTCCTTACCATTTGCTTTGCCAGGTGTGAAGTGCAAAGCTTGTTAAAAGAAAATAAAAGTAAATTGAAAATAACGTTCTTAATCAGTTGTACTAAAATTATTATGAGTGGCTAATTGCACTCAATAAATGTCTTCAAGCACACACCTCTGTCTCAATCACAGAAATCCAGCTAATGATATATTCCCATTACCTTAATCAAAATACTGAGCAGAATTGACTGTGGGAAAATGAGAAAGCAAAAGAGGCCCAACCACAGACACAGATTTCAATACCCAGCGCTTACAGCTGATAGGAGCATCACTGGCAAGTTTTGCACCAGTTCTTCTGGGTGGTGGAAATGTTGCCTATCTCTTACTCCCAAATCTTCATTAGACATCCTGTGCACAAAACTACACCTTCAAAGAAGAGCCTAAGCTGATCTTCTTCAAGGTGATTTTTCTGCTTTGCCTGGAAAGGTTCTGGCTCTCTGTCCCATATCGATCACCTCATGGATATTGAAAGTCATGTT